CAGGGCAAGCAGGGGTATCCTGCGTGGACATTGCACACCAGTGTTGGGTAAGGAAGAGTCTCTGGTGCTCAACCTGACACCAGCCCTTGCTTTTCTCTCTCTGCAGCCTGAAGACTCTCATACAGAGGAACAGCTTTTGGGTCCACATGGTGCAAGCAGGGGTATCCTGCGTGGACATTGCACACCAGTGTTGGGTAAGGAAGAGTCTCTGGTGCTCAACCTGACACCAGCCCTTGCTTTTCTCTCTCTGCAGCCTGAAGACTCTCATACAGAGGAACAGCTTTTGGGTCCACATGGTGCAGTGCCAGGGCACAGAGCCCCACCTGGCCCACTGCCCCACGCAGGTGGCCCCACCAGCCCCTCGCCAGCATGCCTGCACCCGACGCATCTCCAGAAGGGCAAGGGCAGGCATAAGACCTCCTCAGGAAAGGTAAGCCCTGGCATGGCCCTGCACCCCATCCAACAGAGGGTCCTGGAGCTGGACAACATCCAGCCACCCTGCTTGTACTTGTGCCCGTGGCGCAGGTGGGTGGCTGTGCCCCGGGCCTCTGGCCGGCTGCTCCCCAGGCCTAGGTGCTGCCGGTGCGGCGACGAGCAGGCGCCCACGCTGGCGAGGGCCGGGTGGAGGTGCTGCGCCACGGGCAGTGGGGAACTGTTTGTGACAAGCGGTGGGACCTGGTCGCTGCCAGCGTGGTGTGCCGACAACTGGGCTATGGGACAGCGAAGCAGGCCCTGGTGGGAGCCCAGATGGGCCAAGGTGAGGCAGAGGCCTTGGAGAAAAAAAAACTGGTTTACTAGGTGCTGCTGGAGCATCCTGGGATGTCCAGGCAACTCCAGGCTGCACTGGGATGGGTCTCCCCTGGCTCCTCCTGTCACAGGCAGTCCCAAGCCCATAGGGGATTCCCCGATCAGGGAGAGTGAGGACCTCCCTGCAGGATGGGTACGGAGCAGGTAGCGCTGATTCTCCCTCTGCTTCAGGCCTGGGGCCCATCCACATGGCTGAGGTACAGTGCCCTGGGATGTCCAGGCAACTCCAGGCTGCACTGGGATGGGTCTCCCCTGGCTCCTCCTGTCACAGGCAGTCCCAAGCCCATAGGGGATTCCCCGATCAGGGAGAGTGAGGACCTCCCTGCAGGATGGGTACGGAGCAGGTAGCGCTGATTCTCCCTCTGCTTCAGGCCTGGGGCCCATCCACATGGCTGAGGTACAGTGCACTGGCCACGAGCACTCCCTGGGCGAGTGCCGCTTCCAGGAGGCCGAGCGCAGCGGGTGCCGGCACGAGGCTGACGCCGCCGTCCGATGCCATATGCCCCACATGGACTTCCAGAGCCAGGTGAGCCCCTGCCTCCTTCCCAGGGCCCGTGGAGCCCCAGCCCCACTGCCCAGCCTCTGTCCCCCAAGCTCTGTGCCCAGTGTGGATGCTCAGTGCGGCCCTGGGGTAGCCCAGGGGATGGGGGAACACAGAACAGCACGCTGATGGGGGTCTGCAGGATGAGCTGGTGGCAGAAGTGCTCTTGTGGGGAGGAAGAGGAGCGTGGGGGAGCTGTTCAGCTGGATGCATGGTGTTGCTTGCCCCTTTTGCAGTGCTGACTGGGAGGGCTGGGGCTCTGCCCCACACCCTGGCTCAGCCCCTCTTTGCCCGCAGGTGCGGCTGGCGGGGG